CCTGTGGCGGCGGCGGGCGGGCGCGCAGAGCTTTATCCCGCCGCCCCGCGGAGAGCCCCGGGCGGGGGGCGCGTCCCCGTCGGGCCCGGAGCCACCCCGCAAGGGCTGCGGCCGCCGCGGGCGGGGCGGGACCTCCCCGGGAGCAAACAATAAGGAAGTACGGGGAGGTGCGACGGGCGGCTGGGCACGTCGTCCCCCGCTGCCTCGCGGCCGGGTCTCGCCGGGGGCCCCGGTTACCACAGTGAGGAAGAGCGAGCCGCTAGCAACGTGGTCGGTTTTACGGCTTTTGGACGAGAGCGGAGGGACGGCCTGGCACACCCGCGGAGCAGCCCGTGGCCCGCAGGCACCGCAGCAAAGCGTCCGGCTGCGGCTGAGAGCGAGGAGGGTGGCTTTCGTGCCCAGATGGGTTCTGCCGAGGAAAGCTTTGAGACTTGAACACTAGGACAAAAACCTAGGCGAGTGAATGGACCGACAAATCCGTTCCCTTTTTAAAGTGTTTTTTTTTTTTTTCCTAAACCAGTCTCTTCAGTTGCTTTTTCTCCGCTCATTTGGTCGCAGCAGTGCCTGCAAAAAATAAAGGCCAAAGGCCCTAGCAGGACACTTGCAGGTGCAGCCTTTCCCGACACTCAGAACATCTTGTAAGATTCCAGTTGAATTCCCTTCAGTTCTATTTTCCGAGAGTTACACATGGCCACCAGCATCCTGCTAACAGCACCCTTTTATTACTGTGCTCAGACCCGTATCCGAGACCTTTTCCAAACTCTGTGCGCACCATCGCTATTGTCTGTGGTGATTTCTATGGATGACTGCAGAAACACTTTGTTCTTCAACTGTTCTTTTTCTCGGGGAGAGACACTCGTTTGTTGTACATCCTTTGTTTTATTTTGAGTGTGAAGCCTCGCTGCCAAGTAGCGGCCTGCCAGTGAATGACTCCTCCAGCTCCTGGCATTGCACGCAGCATTTGTTCGTAGTTCACTTCGGAGCTTTATAGGAACAGGAACGAAGGACAGACACTGTGGCATCAGCGGTGCCAATGGAAAACATGACTAATAGCAGTTTGCTGTCAGCTGCTCATCACTGATGCTCTGCTTTCAGCTCAGCTGGGCTGTTTGTAGGGCAGCCTCACAACCAGCCAGTCCCAGGAAGCTTGTGTGCCACCCTTTGGATCTTTAGACAGCCTCGTTGTAGTGGAAGTAAGCCATGGAATCACTGAGCTGAGGTCTGCAATGCGCTGCAAGAAGACCACAAACAGAACAGACAGCTGTGCTGGGTCACTCTGCTGTTAACACTGACTTTGACCAAAAGAGGACGCAATGTAAGCCCTTTGTCAGCTGCGCCTGGAAGTGAGACTCACAGCTCACCCAATTCTATGTGTGTGGCGCATGGGGTTAACCAAGCTGAAACAAAGACTGACGAGGTGAGCAGCTTGTTTAAGGGCTGTGTGCTAGACAGATCCTGCTCCAGCAGGTGCTGGCTGTGGTGAAGCACCTTTGGAATGTTGCTACATCAGTGCATGCAGCATGCACTGAGAAACAAGTGAGAGGAGCCAGAAGCCTTGGCTCAGTCCCAGAGCCACGACATCACTGGCATCAGTGGAACCTGGTGGGCAGAGCCCTGTGTCTGGTGTGTTGCAATGGACCATTCTGGGCCTTTCTGCAAGGACAGGCAGGGCAGGTGAGGTGGGAACTGGCTGTGTGTGAGGGAGGCGCTGGTCTGTACAGAGCTGGCAGGTGGTGATGGCACAGCTGGCAGCATCTAGGTAAGGATTAAAGGACAAGCAAATAAGGGGATGTTATGGGGCACTACCATGGGGGCTACTTAGTCAGGACAATGACACCAGTTACTTATTCTTTAAGAACTAAAAGAAACATCTAGATCAACCAGCTTATCCTTGTCCATCCTTAGTGATAAGGATAAAAACTTCAGCCCTGGATATGGGCAGAGCAGACGTCAGGCTGCTCAGGGCTCTAGTTAGCAAGGTCCTCATGCCCCTCAGCCTGCCCACCACCTCTCAGAGCTCTGTCCCTAGGCTGAGGAGTTCTGACTGCCCACCCTGGCCCAGTGCTCTCAAGGGCCATTTGGGCAATGGCCACCATCACTGCTGGTCTCTCATGTCCCATCACGTGCCCTCTGAGCACTACCAGCTCCTGGCGGGTCTGCTCCCCTGGGATTTGATCAGCACAGGCTGGTGCCTCCATCCCTGCACTTTGCAGGATGTGCTGGTGCTGGAGCTGATGGTCTTTGTGAGTGACTGTTGCACGCTTAAATCAGTTGCCGTTGCTCCTGACCCCATCAGCCAAAGTTTTGAGCAGCAGAGGGGAAAAATGTGCTGTTTGCTGATAATGCAAAACCACCTGGAATAATAGAAATTGAAGAGCAATGTGAAAGAATTAAGCAAAATAAGGGACTGCAAAAAGAGAAACATGCTGTAAATATTGTTAAAAAATTAAGCAGTACTGTGGAAATTAATATGCATTCCTTATATGCTCTGCAAGTCTGGGAGACAGGCCTGCAGGAAGGACTACTGTTCACAGAAATTTAGAAAAGGCAGTGAAGACAACGGGAATTAAATTCTTTTCATTCTGCATGAAAAGAATTTAAAGGAGGCAGCAGCACATAAGGAATCCCAGAGTTTTGGTGTTAGTCACTGGCTCATATTCTGAAAGTGAGTGTGATGTGAAATTGCATAAACCTTTATGACACGCACTGGTGAGAGGAGGCATTATTTAGGAGGCATTCATTGTTGTGTCTGAAATATTTCAGAATTGATTCTCCTAAAAGAACAGGATACCCAGGGTACTTCCAACTACTATTTACCACTTTTGTTATTCAAGAAACAGCTAAGATAGAACTGGGGGCATTTTTAGTAGAAGACAGCAGATTCACAGGCTTTTTGCATTCCCTGAAACTCTGCCAGTTGTATTAAAGGACATTTGATATAAATCATCAACTGAGCAACTTCATTCTTCATCGCCCTCCATGTTTCCCATCTTCCTCCCTTCTCCCTCTAATCTCCAGCCTGCATTCAACACACATAATCCTCCAGGAGCATTTTCATCCTGAGATGATGACTGAGTGACATGAGCAAAATAGGAATGCTCAAATCAGTGGTAAGTGATTCCCAGCATCACTTTCTCCATTCTGACCGTGACTGCATGGTTGATGTGTTTCTCAGGACTTGTTAGATCAGAGATTTTGGTTTGCTGCTTTGGGAGGGAGCTCTGTTTGATGTGCAATTTAATAAATTCACTGAGCTCCTTGGATCAATAGTCATCACTGGACACAAAATGAACATAAAAATATTAGTTTGCAGACACCCGGAATCATGTAACTGGAGGATTCAACTCACAATTTAATCCCAAAGGCCATTCATACACTTTTCATCATTTCTTTTTGTGCAATTTTGATGTTAGATTCAAACTTTCAAGGCCAAAACTAGAAGGTTTTCTTATCCATCCAGACGGAAAGTATTCTACTACATGGAGTGTATGTAGTTCAAATACACCACATCTCTGCAGTTTCCCACTCAAGTTTTAACTAAGAAAATCTCTTGTAGCAACAGCTTATCAGAAAACGTGAATGACTAATAACTACTAAGAGATATTTAACAATTTACAGGGATTTATAGATATGCAGGGATTATCACAGTTTGTACACCAGTCACAGGAGTGACCCCAGAGCTCAGTTCTAGGGCCAGCTCTGTTCAACATTTCTGTTAGTGATCTGGGTGCATCGATGGCATGCATCCTCAGCAAGTTTGCTGATGTGGATCAAATTCAACCGTGTTATATGCCATTGTATTGCATCGGGCTTCAGCGTGAATGGAGCTCCATCTTATGCAGAGGAGTCTTATATAAAGGGTGTTCTACATGAACTTGCACCCAGATGGTTTCTGTTTTTTGCTTTTGTGTTTGTCACAAAGAGGAGGCCTGTACCTCAAAATCAACAGAGGCATGGACTCATTTGGACTCTGTTAGGACATCAGAGCTGGCCAAGTGGTCAGAAGGGCCTTTGTGATGTCAGCTGGCAAAGCCTCTGCTGGTCTTTCATTGTGTTGGATGTGTTTTTTTTAAAATCGAACTTTAACCTGACGTCATCAGCTCAGGTGCCACCCTGTTTTTCAGGCAACTGGAGTTGTGCAATGCAGCATGTTCCCAGCTAATGCAGGGCAGCCTTTTTGGCTGGGCAGTCGCAACTGTGTACGTAAGCAGTACATCAGCTGTTTCTTTCACTTCTCTTGAGACACTGTATAGACCTGTATGGGCTGCATAAACCCAATGTTAAAAATAGTTTGTTTGCATGTGTAGCTTTCCAAACTGCAGCACAAGTAGTAAATTCAACACTGAGTCTGCATTTTCCCAAAACTGCCCCAATTAGAGTTTGTTATGAATTGCTGAAGTGCGTTAGAAGATGGAAAAACAGGCATCTAACAGGAGGTCCTGTAAGAGAGGTACTTTATATCACAGTCATTTTTATTCTTACGGCTTACAACAGGATTGTTTCAATTGATGCACGTACCTACCAGCAACTGGGTGTCTGTAACACAGTACAATACTGCTACAAGACAGCAAAATACAAAAACAAAAAACCCTGTAAGACGTCAGAGTAGACTTTCAGTGAATGAAATAGGTAAGTATTTCTAAATACATATACATATATACATATATATAAGATTTATTTATTTATTACAGTAGGAAAAACCAGCAGAAATATGTGCTGCTTTAATATTACTCTACTGTTCTAGCAAGTTCATGCCCTCTGGAGTGCATGAACAAGAAACCCAGGACTGTGTGATGCTGCCTAACTGCAAAAGCAATGGATTGGCATAGTAACCATCGTTATCAGTTCGCACATAGAAATCACTGACAGAGCCATGTGTGAATGAATGCATGCTCAATCCTGCTCTGCCAGACGTATTAAAAATAATAATGATGGAAAAAGAGCTTTATATTTCCTTGACTAATAATGCAGTAGATCATAAATACTCTGAATTCAGTCCCACAGTTCCATCACCTTCAGTGGGAAAGGCAGAAAAGATACCCCCCCTAGTGGTGTGGTTGATAATAATTACTTCTAAATCTCATTTGTTTGCAATTACATTCTTCCCCAATAACGAAATGAAAATGCAAATAGCGTGCAAAGGATCAACTGTTCTGCAAACTAAGCTAGTGTTGTCTAACATTTTAAAATCAAAAAATACTATAAAATCAGAACAGCAATTTTACTGGAAAAGACACTGCATGTCCCATCGCCAAGGAAACTTCAACTGTTCTATCGAGAATAGATTGGGAACATTTTATTCTGAAAAACAAAGCAAAACAAGCTTTGATCACTTTTTAATGTAAGAAAATGACTACAGTTTATGAAGCTGCTTTCTTTCTCCCTGCCTCCACTATAATTTATCACCTTGAAAGGTCATAAAAGTGGTACCTTCTTGAATCTAAGTTAGAAGAATGCCGAGGAAACAGATTTGAGCACCCACATGTTAGAAAATGCCCAAAGTGACATTGCCTTTCTAACATAATGCAGTGTTTTGGGGCGTACTGTTTAGGTTACAGCCTGTAGTGATGTGTTCCTATGCCATTTTCCCCTCAGGACCGTCACATTAAGCACACAGGATAGACAGCTACTCAGTGCTCTTGTCATTTTTTTTCTGTGCGTTGCTCAGTGTGTAGCTGCAGGCCTTACTTATTGAACAGTACACTGGAGATCTCGTACTGGAGATACAGTCGGATTTCCTCACAGGGTCCTCCATAGTGCATTCTGCATAATACATACTGCATAGTACAGAGTACTTACATGGAGTAAGGAGTATAGGATGGGAGATTAAAACTTACCAAAAAATATTGTCACGATTCATGTCTACATATATGGAGATTGCAGCCTTAATGAAGTTGCTTGGGGTTCCTGGTTCCCTGTACATGTTTGGCATTCATGGCAGTTTCCGTTTATGAGCCATCTGTATGTAGTAGACACTTCAGATTATCATACAGTAAATATTTAAGAATAAATTCAGCTAAAT